GTATTACAGTATAGTAGTTCCTACTGCATTTTCTGACTGCCAAACACAGTGCCTTGTACACAGTTGGTGTTACAGAAAATATATTTGGGGTGACTCCCAGTCAACCAACAATCACCCTACTTTTCTCAGATGTGCCATAAAACAGTAGGCCTTGCATAAGAGTCTGAGATGTAGGACTGATGCCACCACACTAGCCTTGCAATCAGCAGATAATGAGAAGGTGTGGGGTATAAAGGTGAACTGTGAGCTCACAGTCCTACCCAGCTGTCAGGGTTGCTCATCTCTCCATTTTTCCAGAGCTAAGAGAAATTCCATTTCCTTCTGACCACTTTAGCTCACAGTGTTCTTTCCTCCTCTGGAACCTAATAACACACATACAATATATTTTGCACATTTAGTCAGCCCCTAATTATGCAATCTTACTTTATTAGTTATGTTTTGGTTTATGTATCCCATCTTTCCAGCTACATTGTTATATATGTAGAGTTTACTTCATATGCCTGAATAAAGGCAGTCAGCTTCATGTTTAAAAATACAGACTTCAGGACCCGTGTTGTGAAGCTGAAATGAAAAGTCATGTACAAGCATTTTTTTTGTAGTATTACATGGTATATCAATTTTATTATTGCCCACAAAAAACATGGTTATTGCTATCTCACACACTTACGCATACTCTCATTCCTTCCATCCTTCCATCCATCCATTCAATAGATACTTAGAAAATGCCTTGTGTGTGCAGGCATTTTCCTAAGTGCTGGAGCTACAAGAAAAACAAAAGAGAGAAGAAACCTGACCTGAGGAGCTTCCACTGTAAAACAGAAGAAAACAGATATGTAAAGATATAAATGTAACAAAGTGTGATGAGTGACTTAAATACAGATGTTATAGGAGAAGAAAGAGACTGACCAACTCAACGGCAGGAATGGGGAAGTGCAAAGGAATGAAGAACAAAACAATTCAACAAAGAGGTGATACTTGAGCTGAAGGCTGGACAATAAGTAGGTCACGAAGGGAACTGTAGAGGGAGACAACAGCACTGGCAAAGGTCCAGAGTCCAATGAGATTCCATGAGGCTGACGCACAGGAGGCTGCTGGACAAGATGGGATAGGGGCAGGGGTTGTGTGTGGGTTACTCAAGGATCTGACAATGTCAAGGAACTTAGAGTCTGAGATGTAGGACTGATGCCACCACACTAGCCTTGCAATCAGCAGATAATGAGAAGGTGTGGGGTATAAAGGTGAACTGTGAGCTCACAGTCCTACCCAGCTGTCAGGGTTGCTCATCTCTCCATCTTTCCAGAGCTAAGAGAAATTCCATTTCCTTCTGACCACTTTAGCTCACAGTGTTCTTTCCTCCTCTGGAACCTAATAACACACATACAATATATTTTGCACATTTAGTCAGCCCCTAATTATGCAATCTTACTTTATTAGTTATGTTTTGGTTTATGTATCCCATCTTTCCAGCTACATTGTTATATATGTAGAGTTTACTTCATATGCCTGAATAAAGGCAGTCAGCTTCATGTTTAAAAATACAGACTTCAGGACCCAGCGCAGTGGCTTGCACCTGTAATCCCAGCACTTTGGGAGGCCGAGGTGAGTGGATCACCTGAGGTCAGGAGTTCAAGACCAGCCTGCCCAATATGGTGAAACCCCATCTCTACTAAAAATACAAAAATTGGCCAGGCGTGGTGGCGCACACCTGTAATCCCAGCTACTCAGGAGGCTGAGGCAGGAGAATCACTTGAACCTGGGAGGCAGAGGTTGCAGTGGGCTGAGATCGCTCCACTGCACTCCAGCCTGGGTGACAGAGCAAGACTCCATCTCAAAAAAAAAAAGAAAAAGAAAAGAAAGAAAAAAGAAAACAGATGTTAAATTTCAAGTAGAGTCAGATTGCCTTGTTTCAAAACCTGGCTTCAACATCTACTGCTTGTGCAACCTTGACCCATATTCTTAATCTGTGTAACCCTCAATTTCCTCATTTGTAAATTATGGATAATAATTGTAGCTACACAAAGGACACAGAATTAAACATACATAAATGTATTACAGTATAGTAGTTCCTACTGCATTTTCTGACTGCCAAACACAGTGCCTTGTACACAGTTGGTGTTACAGAAAATATATTTGGGGTGACTACCAGTCAACCAACAATCACCCTACTTTTCTCAGATGTGCCATAAAACAGTAGGCCTTGCATAGTGAAGGAAGTTTTTGCATTAGGACAAGAAAATTTCCCCAAAGCCAGTGAACAGATGGGAGAATTGGAGCAGTATGGCTTGAGAGGTGCAGTGATGATATTAAAGGAGTGGAATGAAAAGCAAGCAGCAGAAGGTTGCTTGACCAAGAACACAATCCATTCTCTGCAGCCAGCCATCAGCTAAAGAATGCCTAAACCCCTTGGTCACCAGGGAGCTCCTTTTCACTGGCCTAGCTAGGAAACACAAAGACAGGGGAAAAAGTTCTTAGTGTTTTAAGATTAGACAACTGTGGAATGTGTTGGGGGTGCTCCTGCCTTAAAACATGCAGGGTGTTTTGCTGGGGGAAGATGTATAACAAGGTAAGGAGTAGTACAGATTATATTTAGTCTGAGATATATTTTATATTTGTCACACATTCACATTGAAAATGGCAGAAGATATATTTGAAGATTCTATGTCTCCACCCCCATCCCAAAAAAATGAACAAGACTCATTCCTGCACCTCATTCTGTCAGGTTCCCACCATCACTACTTGTCACTTTCGCACCAAGGAATGGCGCAAACTGACAAAGAAGAGCACAGAAATCTGCAGCAGCACAAATACATGCTCAGAATAGCAAGAAATGATTAATAGTGGCCTCTTTCAGGAAAAAAAAAAAATCAGCAAAGTTAAATGATTGCTCACTGCCTCATGATAATTTTTATTATTCCCTTCTCCCTATAAAAATTGTATTTTACATTTCTGTACTTTATCAAAATTTCAACATCTTTTTTATCTATATCATTCATCATCTCCCCTCACCCTTCCCACCCCCGCTTTTCCCAGAAAGGGAAAATAAAACCATTTGTAGACAGGCTGAATTATTTTGAAAATAAATAAATGCATAAATTATTTGTAATGAGACATCTGAGTATGTTACAGAGGGAACTCATGCAAAGATTAGGTGACCTCTAAGGTTTCTTCCAACTTAGGATTCCATTATGTTTTCCATCCATCGTCCTTACCCCCCTCCCTCCTTCCTTCCCTTCCCCATTCCTATCTATAAATATTTGCTAAATCCATACTCGGTACAAGAAACTATACTGGAAAATAAAGAGAAATTTATGAGACCCTACCCTTAAGAAGCATATCATCTGGTATGTGAGACAAATATGTTCACAAACAATGGCAGTGCACTGTTTGGCAAGAATTGCACAAAGGTCTAAGTCAAGTGCTGGAGGAATTTAAAGAGGGTAAGGATGAACACAATTCTGACTGGCAAGCAGAGAAAGCTTCATGGCATGGATAACATTTTGTCCGGGGCCTTAAGGGATAAGAATTTCAATAAGCAGAAGAAAGAATAAAATGAGCTAAAACAAATGAGGGAAAAGAGTAACAATATCCCTGGAGAATGTCTAGGGACAGAAGCAAAACGTACTCTACTCAGGAGAATTGGAAGAAAAGCCTAGAAAGGTAAATGGCCAAGGCAGGGGGATAATTCATTTTTAATTCACCACACACTAACACCTTCAGCCAGAGCTGGCCTAGGTGTAAAAGTTCTCTTGCCAGTTATACTTACACAGAAGAAGGATGCTGTTCAAACAGGGCTGCCCCTGCTTCTTTTCCTGACCCTCTCCACAAATGATATACTCAGTCCTGTTCTGTATAAGGCTCAGCTCATGATTTACTCACTAATTCACTAATTTAGCACACACTTTCTGAGTACCTATTATGTTCTGTGTATTTGTCCTGTGGACACCGAAGGTCTTCATTACAACCTCCTAAGAACACGTGCCTTATGTTTGCTTTTCATGGAATAACCGCCAGAGTTGCCACAACGCAATTAAGCAAGGAGAATGCTTTGTGAATAATAATGATGGGATGGTAGAGGGGTGATTATCAGCCTTGCTTCCACGTAACAATCTCACGCACGGAGATGCAGCCCTGCTGGTATGTGAGGCTGCAGTGACAGACCAGCAGAAACGCAGCTCTCTGCCAGGCCATCAAGGTGGAGCCCCCTTGCGGTGTGGTTGGTCAACTAGCCACTTCAGTTTTTCAAGAGTGAGATCCTGAGACAAG